GGGGCGGGGGGGAAAGCGGGGCCCCTGCTTCGCGGCGGGAAGAGCTGCTGGGCCCACGGCGTGGCGCGCTGGCCGGCAGGAGATGGCAGGAAGAACTGGAGAGCCGCCTGGCGATGGGGTGTCCGAGGAAGGCTTCCGTTTGGAAAATGCAGAATTTATGCGCTTCTCACTGCCCGGTCGGGAATACCAAAAACAGGAGGGGGGGCTTATTTAAAAATAAGGTGAATTAATACTCTTTTATTTACCCATGCACCACGGGTACGCTTTGTCGTTGCAGTTTCAGCCATGGGGAGATGAGGTGTGGCGGGTCTGTGATTACGTCAAATCTCAACTCGCGTGACCTCAGCAGGATCTCGTACCAAAGTGCTGGGATCGCAGACCAACCTTCTCATGCCTCGCTTTTTTTCTCCCCGGATTTAACACAGGTTTAACCCTTTTTCCCACCTCCATCACCTGACTCAGCTCCCCAGACAGCCAGCTCATGAGCCACAGGCTGTTTGTTATTTCAGGTTCAGACCAAGAAACCGGTTCCTCTTCTATTCCTTGGCCAAGACCCGGATTCTTAAATAATCCAGGATTCCTAAGGTAAGGATGCCAAATGAAACCACAGGGCTCCACTTCCCTTTGACCAATACTTCTTCCAGGTTCACCTGCTGTTTGTCACCTTTATTTCTAATTTCCAAAACTGGTTTTGCATTCAGGAAAAGATCAGCTTTGGCTACCCTCGTAAGTACGCACCAGTTACGCTTCCCGTGTGACGTCCTGAAGTTCATTCAGTTCATCTCCACGCCTGGCCAGTGAGGATTTTGTTCCTGCGCGGCTCGCATATCCAGTTATTCTGCCCTGAGTTCAGCCGAATTTGGGGAGTTCTCATTCGCGGAAAGCATAACGCGCACGGCTGGCCCGGTTCCCTTTACAGGCGCGCTGCTGCTTCCCGGACGTTTGGCTGCAGTGACAGGGCTCCAGGCAGAGCCTTCAATACCTAATGGCACCATTAGCAGTATCGATCTGGGGTTTAAGCAGGTTGGTTTTGAGCAGAGTTTAAAACAAGGTAACTGCAAATGTTGCCACGTAAATAACGTCGCATTCAAATTCAAGAAAAAGAAAAATAGAATTGCCACCTTTTAAATACTCCTCTAGCCAACCGGATCAATTTAACCCCTTCAGATCCACTCAAAGAGACTTATAAATGTTTCTACAAGCTATCTAAAATATCTTTTCCTTCCTTTCTGTTGCCCTCGACTTTGTCCAGGCCTGCTCTGTGCCATCAGGTTCTCAAAAGCGCCAACCTGTCTAATCGGTCATTTGTTGTTTAAATTATACTCAAGACGTAACTTTTCCTAGCCATGAATTTGGTTGCTCTCTTGCCTTTCCTTACAGTTTCGCTGTAACATCCACCTGTATAACTAGATCACGCTAACGAACATAAAAGTCTTATCATGCAAAAACCACAACCATAGATTAACCAGAATAGCTGGCCTCTAAGAAAACCTTAATTTCACTTTGACAGCAAAATCGGATTCAAAAGATCTCTCCCTGCTGCGCTTTATTTTTGGCCGTATCGTTTGCTGGGCAGGTTGCCATGACAACCTTCTATTCACCGGCGGGTGTCTGTAATTGGGAGAGCACGGTGTTAATTTCGAGCCAGGCTTTTTTATTTTTTTATTTGGTCGCATTTTGGGCAAGGGGAACTGCCTGGCGTTTAATATTTTTCTCTCGGATCATGCTACTCAGGTTCAGTGACTACAGCAAGCAGCGGCAGACGGCCATGTCCACGGCCCACGTCACCAGCCCGTGTCTAGTCCGCGGCTCCCACCTCCAGCCGCTGCCCAGCACACTGGGACCCTAAGCCAAAAGCAGCCAGAGCGACGATTTCCCAGTGAGGCTGCTGGTTTATGGGAGAGCTAAGGGCTGGGAGAAAGGAAGGTATGATCCGAGCTGGCATTAAGGGGTGTTTTTCGAAATAGCGGTGTGATTGGGATTTTAAACTCCGACCTGACAAGAGTTCGTCTCAGCTAGTTTCCAAGGCAGGGGAAACCCAGGGAATGTGGCACGTGTTGCGTGTGCGTGGGACGGTGCCATTAGTTACCGACAGGGCAGAGTTCACGCCGAGAGCCAGCCAGCATCCGTGCGTGCGAAGGCCGTGGCGCTCGGGATAAGCAGGAAGGAAGAGGGCCGGTCTCTGCTTCTCGGGCCGAGCATACGCCGGGAGCCGTTCCTTCGCGTGAAGTTGAAGCTCGTGGGCTGGGCTGGCTGTGACGTTTTCCGTTAGCGACCTGTCGCGGCAAGGAAGGAGCTTGCAGCTTCACGGGATCTGGTGACTTTCTGGCAGGCGCTGGCGCAGCTCCAGATTCAAAGAGCAAAGTGGAGCTGCCTGTCCTGCGTCTCGCCAGGGCTCAGCCCTGCTGCCTTCCTGCCCGGCGCCTCGGCCCCTCTGACGGGCACGCTCAGCCCCTCGGCCTCTGCTTTCGTCCTCATCTGGCCATAGCCAGGCACAAAGTGGTCATAGCTTGGGAGGGGAACGGGGAGCAGAGAGGGCTCCCACCTAAGAGGAGAAAGAAAAGGGGAGCTGTGAAAAGGCAGAGATGGAGGAGGAAATCTTAACATCCTTCTTCCAAAGAAAAGACGCTGTGGCTGCTCTTACAGGTGCCATAGGCCAGGTGATAACACCAGATGACTCAGTGCTTGTGAAACTAAATTGGCCCTTTATTAAAAGCAACTATTTAGGGAGGCAGCAAGGTGGCGGGGAAGTTTCTCAATAGCCATAACAGAGGGAACTGAGGTAGGCTGGCTGGTTGCTTCTGCTGCTGGAAGCAGAAGCCACCGGATGCTGGCAACCAGGCGGGCAGCCCGGTTCCTGCCTCTCCTCCCACTACCCCTGCCTCAGGCCAGGCCACGTGCTGCCTGGGCTGGCACCCAGGAAGGTGCTGAGTGCCTCTGGGAAGACAGTAAGGGTCTCCAAGCTCTCTGCAACTTCCGTGGGAACTGGAGGATCTTAGCAGCTCCGGGAAGTACTCCAGCCTAAAGATTTTATCCCAAAAGTCAGCAATCCTGTGGCACTAAACCCAGCCTCATCAGACTTCTCAGAGTACCTGTTACTCAGCCGGGATCAGAGCTGCTGTTCCAATAATTCCAGAAGACTGAAGGCTGAAAAACTCACTTCCGAAGCGACGGGCTCCGACCGTGTCCAGGACAGGCTGACTGTGCAAACCGAACCTCCCGAGAGAAGCGCTGGGCTCAGCACAGCGGCTGCAAAGGAGAGAGAGGGAGACTGCAGACATGAAAACATTTGAGAATACGACCTTTGAAAGCAAAAAGATGCTGTGCCAAACTGCGCTCTCCCCCTGGCAACAGCCTTGAAAATTGCTTAGCAATGATGGGAAATTGCAGCTTTGAAGGGAATATATAGAATACTTACAAAGTCACTTGATTGTAGCTGTGATGTGCTGGTAGCTTGTCCCTCCTTTGCTAGCTCTGAGGAAACGTTTTGCTTTAGAGAACGTAGCTGAAGGCAAAATTCAGCATATTGTCTTCTGCTCAGATTATGAAAGTTCAGTTATAAATTCAGGTAGGTACTGAAAAAAATAAACTAAAGAAGAAGGAACTGCCTCTGCTCTGCCCCCGTATAATTCTGGGATATGTGGGACAGTTGGGATATCTCCCATGACGGAGATAACAGTGATCCCCTCTGCAAGTTTCTAAGAAGTGACCAGCGAAATGCTGCCGCGGCCTTCACGTGCTTAGATGCTACATCAGAGATTCCCGCAGGAAAAAGAAACCTCTTCAAATGGTTGGGTCAGCAATGTTACAGCCAGAGTCAGAGCAGTTGTTATGCTGGCGGGTGGGCAGTTGGGTTGAAAGCAAATAGACCCCCCTGTAAAACACAAATAATAGCCCCACTGTAAGGAGCAACGGCTGGCGACAGACGAGTTCTTTATTCCAGTCCTGCCCTCCGCAGACACAGAGCCTCAGTGAGTGCCTCTGTCCTTGTCCCTGAGAGCAGAGCTGCTGAGACGTTTGCCTGTGCCACGGAGGACGGTAACGTTTTCCACCCGTGACTCTCAGTGGGAACCCTACCTTGCGGCAAGGCAGGAGAGGAACCGAGGCAGGGAGGTGATGGGGGGACTTGCATGCGGCCACGCAGGATGTTCGCAGCAAGAGACAGAGACGGCACAAAGCTGTCGAGACTCTTATTCCTAAATCACGTTTCAGAGCAGGGTACCCCCAGGTTAACAAGTGCTTTGCAAGGGGAAGAGCTGTTTCTGAAATGCGGAGTGTGGGGACGGGCTCCCCTGCACGCTTCTCAGTTATTTTTAGAAGGGCATTTGCATCCAGTGCAGCAATCGGTGCCAAGGCTATTTTCAAGTCAGCGCTAAATTCACTGGTATTCAGCGAGGCCTGAAACAGGATGGGACCCAACTCAAGAGCTGGGGTTATACAGGCCGCTTTGCTGCAGAGAGTTTGAAATTGTGTTCGGATGGGGCTGCCTTTTAGAAACCCTTGCTCGTGTTCGCTCGGGAGTCAAGCTTATCGCCTTCAGCACAGATCCCTTCGTTTCTCTTAGCTGTAGAATTAACCGGTGTGTTGAAAGCACCTAGTGCGTTCTTCAGCAGCTCCTGTGGCCTGAGACCACGCATCCGCAGGGCGCTTTCTTCCTCTTCCTCTGAAGGTCTCAGCACAGGGTCTCCCAACGGCTGACTTTTTTCCCACCCTGGGAAGTACAGGTGCTCAAGAGAAAAGCTGCAAAAGCGAAAGGGCACGAGAATTTCAACCCGACACAAGCCAACATCCCAGGTCTACTCTAGGCAACTGTCTCCTAAGCTGCTGTCGGATAAACTGCTTTTACAACAGCTGATTTGGGCTTGGAGGTTACCCTTCGGCTCACCCTCGCTTACTCACCCCCCGGAGGTTATCCCGCAGCAGGGATGTGACTAGCGATCCCACAGCCCACGCGCTCCGTTGGCGACTTTAAGATAATTCTCCCGCTTCCTTCCTTCCCCTTGGCCTCTGCAGGAAAAGGCTCTCCCATCGGGTGCCGGCCGTTCCCTCTGCATTTCAGTCCCGGCCAGTGCCAGGAGCCCCAGCACCTGGTTTGGGGCTGAGGAGTAGTCACTAGCGCAATGCCCAAGCGCCTTGGATGTGTCATCACCCACCAAAAGATTCCTTCCTCCCTCCTCTTCTGCTTATTTCAGAGGCGACAAAAGTCTCTGCTTCTGTCCTAGAGATGCTGCCCCAGTCCCTCCCAGTCTAACCAGTTCCCTAAGCCTTTTCCTACTTCAAATGACAAGAAGAAAAGTCAGAAAATGGGGATTCTCTCCTTGACTTGCTGCCTAGCTTAAAATAATATCCCTCGTTTCCTGGTGTTCCACATAATTCAGCTGCATAATGGGGCTACCTGGACGTAATTCATGACTTTCCTACCCTGATTTAATTCCCAGCTACATCATTGCATTAAAGAGGGCATAGAAATGCAAAGTATGATTATACAGGTAGAGACCAAATTAACATTTCAAAGGGTTCCCACTGTTACAGCCCTCAGGAAACACAGCGGCATTTGCAAAGGTCAGGCTGTTTGGCTGCTGAGGAGGCCGAGCTGACAGCGGGCAGAGGCATCGCCTTGCAAGAACTGTGACCAGCCATGAAGGATCTCCTTGCAGGCTGGGCAAGGCACATCTCCTCAGCTGCCTGTGCAGGGTGGCAGAAAGCATCTTGGACAGTGACATCAGTAACTCCCGATTTGCTGCAGAACGGATTCAAATTAACCATTGACAACACAGGAGCTTTTTGCTTAGCTGGGCACACGGCAGCCCAGAGCGCCGTGTGCTTTGCAGGGACACGGCTGACGGCATTAGACAGACAACCAGCAATGCCGCGGGCCATCGCTCTGTGTTATTCCTCTCCGCCTGCGTAAGCCTCGCTGCCGTCTGCGGTAACCCAGGGAGCATGTCTCTCTTCCTCCGCGTTCGATTTTGACTTTTTTTCCACGCTCCCTTATTGCGGTTATTAATTGCATCAGAGGATCGCAATGCTCTTTGGAAGGGCGGAGAGAGGTGCAGCAGGAGGCACAAAGCCTGCCAGCACGGAGGGAGTTGTTAATCAATGAGGTGGGAGAAGCAGCCCGGGAATTTCCCTGGGCAAAGGGTGTTGAAAAACCTCTCCACCCAGGGGCGCTGGCTGGAGGGCTGCAGCAACGCACTCTTCTTGGTTTACAAAGGATGAACAATTTGACTTGACAGTGCCGGGCCCTTTTATCACACGACAGTGTATTAGCTACAGGCAGTTTTATTGAAGCTGTTGCCTTTCAAGCAAAATATACCCCCAAAAGCCTGCCTGGAATGAGGGAGGAACAAGAGGGAGAATAGAGCTGTGAAGCCCTGGAGGAAAGCCATGTTTCTGGTGAGCAGCTAAGGAGAGCTGGAGAGATGCTGGGACACTTTTGGTGGGAATAGCAGGGGCTCAGCCTGAAGCCTGGTGAAGGAAACCTGTGCAAGACACGGGAGAGAGCCCTGAAAGACAACAGCTCCCTAGCCAGCAGGAGCAAAACCAGAGGGAATT